TTGAGGTCAAAAGGGTCCAAAATTAAACTTTGTTTGATTTCATCTAAAATTGAATTATTGGGGTTCTTTGATATTCCAAATCTTACCGTGTATTTAGGTTTTTAATTTTGGGTCCTGTTTTTTAAATTGGTCTACATTGAGGTCCAAAGGGTCCAAAATTAAACTTAAGTTTGATTTTGACAAAAATTGAATTCTTTGGGTTCTTTGATTTGCTGAATCTAAACATGTGTTTAGATTTTTGATTATGGGCCCAGTTTTCAAGTTGGTCCAAGATAGGGTCCAGTATTTAAACTTTGTTTGATTTCAACAAAAATTGAATATATGGGGTTCTTTGATATGCTGAATCTAAACATGTATTTAGATTTTTGATTATGGGCCCAGTTTTCAAGTTGGTCCAAATTGGGGTCCAAAATTAAACTTTGTTTGATTTCAACAAAAATTGAATATATGGGGTTCTTTGATATGCTGAATCTAACCATGTATTTAGATTTTTTATTTGTAGGCCCCGCTATCAAATTGGTTCATATTGAGGTCAAAAGGGTCCAAAATTAAACTTTGTTTGATTTCATCGAAAATTGAATTATTGGGGTTCTTTGATATGCCAAATCTAACCGTGTTTTTAGATTTTTAATTTGGGTCCCGTTTTTTAAATTGGTCTTCATTGAGGTCCAAAGGGTCCAAAATTAAACTTAGTTTGATTTTAACAAAAATTGAATTCTTGGGGTTCTTTGATATGCTGAATCTAAACATGTGTTTAGATTTTTGATTATGGGCCCAGTTTTCAAGTTGGTCCAAGTTGGGGTCCAAAATTAAACTTTTTTTGATTTCAACAAAAATTGAATATATGGGGTTCTTTGATATGCTGAATCTAACCATGAATTTAGATTTTTTATTTGTGGGCCCCGCTATCAAATTGGTTCATATTGAGGTCAAAAGGGTCCAAAATTAAACTTTGTTTGATTTCATCAAAAATTGAATTATTGGGGTTCTTTGATATTCCAAATCTAACCGTGTATTTAGATTTTTAATTTTAAGTCCCGTTTTTTAAATTGGTCTACATTAAGGTCCAAAGGGTCCAAAATTAAACTTAGTTTGATTTTAGCAAAAATTGAATTCTTGGGGTTCTTTGATATGCTGAATCTAAACATGTGTTTAGATTTTTGATTATGGGCCCAGTTTTCAAGTTTGTCCAAGTTGGGGTCCAAAATTAAACTTTGTTTGATTTTAACAAAAATTGAATATATGGGGTTCTTTGATATGCTGAATCTAACCATGTATTTTGATTTTGGACATTGGACCATAATAGGTAAATTAAAAAAATTCAAGTTCTTAGACCACATTCTTTCTGTGTCAGAAACCTATGCTGTGTCAAATATTTAATAACAATCCAAATTCAGAGCTGTATCAAGCTTGAATGTTGTGTCCATACTTGCCCCAACTGTTCAGGGTTCGACCTCTGCGGTCGTATCAAGCTGCGCCCCAGCGAAGCATTTTATTTGTTATTATTTTGAATATTATTATAGATATATATAAACTGAAAGCAGCAATAATGTTCAGCAAAGTAAGATTTACAAAAAAGTTAATATGACCATAATTGTCAATTGACCCCTTAATGAGTTATTGCCCTTTAAAGACAATTTTACACAATTTGTTCATCAAGTTTGCTAACATTTAAAAATCTTCTCCTCTGAAACTACTGGGCCAATTACCTTCAAACTTTAACTAAATGTTCCTTAGGGTATCTTGTTTATAAATTGTATCCGAAGTTTGTATCCATCGACAAACATGGCCGCCATGGCTAAAAATAGAACATAAGGGTCAAATGCAGTTTTTGGCTTATATCTCGAAATCTAAATCTGTTAGAGCAAATGTGACCGGGGTAAAATTGTTTAATTGGTCAAGATCTATCAGCCCTGAAATTTTCAGAAGAATGGAACAACCCATTGTTGGGTTGCTGCCACCGAATTGGTAGTTTTAACAAAATTTTGCAGTTTTTTGTTATTATTTTGAATATTATTATAGATATATATAAACTGTAAGCAGCAATAATGTTCAGCAAAGTAAGATCTTCACAAAAGTTAATATGATCATAATTGTCAATTGACCCCTTAATGAGTTATTGTCCTTTAAAGACAATTTTACACAATTTGTTCATCAAGTTTGCTAACATTTAAAAATCTTCTCCTCTGAAATACAGGTGAGCAATTCAGGCTCTTGAGAGCCTCTTGTTTTTATGGGTGTCTTCTGCCATCTTGGATTGTCAAGTGGCAGAACACAATAGGTCTAAATTTTCTATTTAGTGAGCAAATTTCAATGCAGGAGTGCAATTTAATAAGAATTTTCATTTAAATGAAAAAAATATGTGATTTTAAGTTATAATTGATCATTCTTTTACAAAAGTAGAATATTTTTGTTTGCGGCCAAAAAAAAGATATGTCTGTTTAAAGTTACATCATTAAAAAAAATAGGGTAGGAAGGTTGGTATTTCCATTTCATCTTATTTTTTGCAACATGATTTTGAGTCATGCAGTCTGTCTTCAATCGTTCCATGTTGTCCAGTTGTCCATGGGCAGAGTTTATCTGTATTTTTAATAATTGGATTATTTCCCTTGGTTAATGGATGGAAAAAAATGACGGCAAAGTGTTTTTTGCATCACACAAGTTGCGACTTTCCTTTAAACTGCCACCATATTCACAATTGTGAACATTGGGATGTATCAGGCAATAGATTTATTTAATTGGCAACTCTAACTTCACTTTTGACACGAGTTCAGTTAATTTTTCACTTTAAGATCGAAAAAAAAATGACCTCAGGTTGGCGCTCAGAAATAGGGTCGGTCAAGTATAAACGGTAAACAGACATATATATATTTTTTTTGGCCTGATTCAGATTTTTTTTAAACTTTGCATTTAAAGTGGAGGTAACTCAGAAATAGTTCAAATTGTAATGGAATCTACAGAAAATTTTTGTTATTTTATATTATAGCAGGCAAAAACGAGCAGTGACCCCATTTTTAACCGTATTTCCAATGGAACACATCAGTTATTAATTTGATGATGTACGGCGGGCTGGCAGCTGCCAAACAGTGTCCATGCAATAACTTAAAAAAGCTTTGATGAAATCTTTCAAATTTAAATATGTTGTTTCCTATGACTAAATGAAGGTCAAGTTGTATTCTCACAATTTTAGCTTTTATCGTTGTTGAGTTGTAGATGTTTTTAAGTAGTGAAAAGTGATACTCAGTGTTGTCTGTGCAATAACTTGATAACGTTTTGACAAAATCTTTCAGAGTTTAGATGTGTTATTTTCTAGATGACATTTTGCAGTCTTTTATTGATATTTTTTAACCTTGATTTCCAAGATTTTATTTAAATATTAATACATTTAAATATTTTGTTTCTTACATTTTTACACAATTATTTTTAAATAGATCATTTTGTTTTTATCTTGTTAATATTGAAAATATACATGATATATATATATATATTAAAGTGTAATATACATAAACATTTCCCACAGGCCAATTTTATATAGATAATATTGCAATTATTAAAGACAATTATCATGATTACAACCACACTCAGTGTGTGTATTACACACAGAGCTATGTTTTACACACAGATAGGGCTGGGACTTGTCACTCCCCATGCATTTGTAAGTATCTTATTCTTCTGTAATATGATATGTTGTCTTGCATTCTTTTATATATGTGTAGCCAGAGACATATAAACTAAATGTATATATATGTCTCTGGGGTAGCATGTAAAAATGGTCATTATTTGGTTATTGGGATTCAAATTATGTTTTGTATTAATATTAATTACAAGTTTTCAAATTATTTGTTTCAAAATTTAGTAACACCTAATTAAAGACTTGGTAAAGACTTACTGAAAAATTATTACACCAGGGTTTTCGATATCACAAACTAGTCAAAACATTTACTAAATTTTATCATCGGTATAAGGACATCATTCCTAAATATAGCTCAACATGCAGACTTCTTATACGTTCAGGTATTTCACATCCAATTTTTTGGAAATATTCTTTATAAAGCACAAAAATGTCAGTATTCACCTCTGAAGCTAACAAAACCTTTAAATAGACTTATTAAGAAGGGATATAGTTACGATACTGTTGTCAGGTCATTAAAGATTGCATATTTTGGCGTTAATATTGATTCACTTATAGGGTCTTTGCATCGGCACTTAACACATTTATTTAAAAACCAGTTGTTGGCATGACACGGGTTATGTTCTTCTCATATATGTTATGATGGTATGACACTAAACCCCTAACGGGAAGGATTGTGCCTGATATTCATATGATGAAGACATAATCTTTCAATCAGTTTAATTGAAGTCTGGAGCTGGCATGTCAGTTAACTGCTAGTAGTCTGTTGTTATTTATGTATTATTGTCATTTTGTTTATTTTCTTTGGTTACATCTTCTGACATCAGACTCGGACTTCTCTTGAACTGAATTTTAATGTGCGTATTGTTATGCGTTTACTTTTCTACATTGGCTAGAGGTATAGGGGGAGGGTTGAGATCTCATAAACATGTTTAACCCCGCCGCATTTTTGCGCCTGTCCCAAGTCAGGAGCCTCTAGCCTTTGTCAGTCTTGTATTATTTTTAATTTTAGTTTCTTGTGTACAATTTGGAGTTTAGTATGGCGTTCATTATCACTGAACTAGTATATATATTTGTTTAGGGGCCAGCTGAAGGACGCCTCCGGGTGCGGGAATTTCTCGCTGCATTGAAGACCTGTTGGTGACCTTCTGCTGTTGTCTGTTCTATGGTCGGGTTGTTGTCTCTTTGACACATTCCCCATTTCCATTCTCAATTTTATTGCATGGACCATTGGTGTCCTCAAATTTTGGAGATTTTCCAAATGTTGTTTTACATTTATTTACATATAGATTGCTTATACCTGTTTTAAGTCTTTTATATCATGTATACGGTTAAGCAACAATTTTGATCTTTCCTTTATCCATTACAGATTTGAGAAGAAGCCAGATTCTGCAGGATGTTGATAATTGACAAGAATATGTCGAACTGTCAAATGTATTGTGTCTATAATCCAATTATTAAATAACATTTCATATCATGAAGAACCACAATATGGAAAATATAGTACAAAAACCTGGGACTATTTCTCAGAAGGAAATGTCAACCTATATCCATAGCAGAAATACAAAGGATTATGAAGAATTCATTAGTGGCTGGGGAGCAGCCTTCGTAAATATTGGGTTTACATTCCCCATTAATAAAGTGATGTTTCGACAGCAGCTGCATGGTGTGAGAGTTTGCAAGGCTGTAGGGCAGTTACAGAAAGAAGGCATCCGTCATTTGTATCGGGGATTGTTGTCCCCTTTGCTTCAGAAAACTACCTCACTTTCGCTTATGTTTGGATCCTATTATAAAATTCAACATTATTTGACAGTTGAACATCCATCTTTACCGCTCCATGGAGTTCGTATTTTTTCAGCATTAACTGCAGGAACCTTAGAAGCAGTGTTGTGTCCTTTTGAAAGAATTCAAGTTTTAATGCAAGATCGCCAGTATAAAGATCGTTTTGACAATACCGCTCATGCTTTTAAAGAGGTACGTAAATATGGATTCAGGGAATATTTTCGTGGATTATCAGCAGTTTTACTAAGAAATGGACCAAGCAATGTACCGTTTTTCCTCTTTAGAGATTACGCCATGGAAAATTTGCCAAGAGTTGATTCCCAAGCTGATAGAATATCTCAGGACTTTTTCTGTGGTGCTGTTTTAGGTGCATCTTTGAGTACTATATTTTATCCCGTCAATGTAGTGAAGGTTAAGATGCAATGTAAACTTAGTGGTGAATTTGACAGCTTTTGGAAAGTTTCCAAACAAGTATGGATTGAAAGAGACAGAAAACTTAAGAAATTGTTTAGAGGTGTACACATAAATTTTACCAGATCGTTTATATCATGGGGTATTATAAATGCAACTTATGAATTTTTAATGAGAAATATGTTTGGTAGTAATACAAGGCTTGCAGATTCCAAATCATAATATAGTTTGGTGTAAATATTACTGAATAAATTACACCTGACCATGTACAGGTAAAATGCACTACATATTTTTTGTAGGAAGTGGTAACATACAAATTACTACTTAGTGTAATCAGAAATATAGTATTACTCGTATATATATTAAATATAGCTAGAGAAATAATTTAATGAAACATTTATAGAAGTTGATAATTCTTTGGGAGAACATTATTTAGAATAAATGCTTTGCTAGTTTGTGGAAAGTGAAATTGGCAGTATCCATTTTGTGTGTGAAATTTGGTTGCTTTGCAATTGTATTCAGATGATTATCTCCCTCTGCAAATTTTTTTATTCATTGAAAAGCCCTGAAAGTAAAAAATTGTAGTGTAAATTTTACTTATCTTAAATATACAATCATAACAATGTACATTTTGTATCTTAAGAAACAGATAAATTGTTTTAAGCATTGCCAGATGAATATTAATACATCTTTAATTTTGCTTGCATGTTTATAATTGTAATTAATTTATTTCACAGATGTATAAAATAACTTATAGTAGTACAAATGTAATATTAATTCCTGATTAAGGTTACCTCTATCTGTATACTCCATTCTAGTTCACTCACAGTCATGTTAGTGGTTAGTGGTGTTAATACATTCAAGTTCAGTCTTGTGTGTTCTGTTTTATGATTTGAGGACAATGTTTGTCATGGTGTTATCCATCCTCGTGGTCAGGATTTTTTATTGCACCTTTCATGTCTTATTATTTTTGTTGTTGAAACTTTACAGTTATAGAGGGTCTGGATGGGGGATCTTCATTTCCATATTCTTTTATATTTGGTTGGTTTTTCTCTTCTCTATCATGTTTCCCCCGTACTCTCCAATCTTTATATTTTGCACCCCATTTTTCTCTATTCTTTATTGTTTCACTATTTTTTTAAATCTTTTTGGCCCATTTTTCTGTAGTCTAGAATCTTTATTCTCTATTCTATAAACTCCATCCAGACCCCATTATAAGCATACAAAACCTGTAAGCTTGTGTCATGAATAAAAACCTATTAGTTTATACTTTAACTAACCTTTTTAAGTTTAAAATTTTTTATTGTGTGTTATATTTTTGTTTACATTATACAGATATATAGCTGTTTGTTAAGTTGTTTGTGAGAATATTTATTTTGCTTTGGTTAGTTGATTAGATTCCAGTAACACTTTAATACATGTATGTTGACTGATTTTTAACAACAGTTGTACATTTACATGTGTTAACATTTAAATTAAAATGTGTGTTCTTTTCATAAGGCTGTATACAGTCATGACAGTTATATTACAGTTATATTACGTTTATTTTAAGTTTTTAAAGTCCTGATATGAGCCAAACTGATTGATATACAGATTCATGCTTCGCTTACAAGGACTTGACAATGCCCCATTCTACTTCCTGGTTTAAGGACCTTTTGCGGTCCATTGGTTTTGTTGTAATTATACACACCATCAAAAATTTGAAGACTGAAATATCATTGGCTGATTCAATTATATACTAGAACAGAAAGTAGGAAGGAGTGTTGTCAGAGACACAGGATCTGTATTTTAATTAGATTGGATAAGAGCAGGAGACCTTAAGTATCAGGTGGTCTCATCGGTCTATCGCATACAAATATCATGTCTGCTTTACAATCTTATTTAGACACAAACACATTGACAGACAAGTTTGTGTACATGTAGCTTAGAAGGAGCTAACAACAATCTTCAGGATATGTTGTAAAGTCACATACATGTGCATGTATGCTTTATACTTTAGGAAAATCAAAGGCACTTGTCTCTGAAAAAAATATCTTTATATACCTTAATTAAGGTATATACTATTATCGCTATTTTACGAAATTTTCCTTTGCTCTTACTGACTGATAATTTCCTTTCTCAACACAGTAGAGCGATATGAAAAATTATCACTAGAAACTAGGGGCGCACATGCCGTTGTCAATGTAAACATCAACATTGTCATAGGCAAAATAGTGAAAAACAGATTATCATTGGTCATCTCAACTCGATTACTTTTCTCACCTTCGCTGGCTCAGTTGAGAAATTCAATCTCATTGAGATGACCAACGATAATCTATAATTATTAAGTACCTTTTTTTAAGAGACATGTGCCTATGAGGAGAAGGTATGATACAGCCACTTGATTGACCTTGAATTCAAAAATTAAGAAATTTTAGAAATCCTTGAAATAACATCCTTTAGAGTTTACAATATATTACTGGGTAGATATTAGTACTTATATTTTTGTTAAAATGTATAAAAGGGACAATTTACATTTTTTGATATTCAGGAAAATTAGGGCATTTATTATACATTTTTGTAGCTATATAAACATTGATAAAAAGCCTATATAATAGTAGTAATGTGCAGCTGCTGTTTGATTTAATGTTTACACATTTGCAGTGTTCTGAAGTGTATAACACAGATGTATAATTTTAACAAGTGTGTTATATGTGTGTGGTTGATAGTGGTAGATTGTAGACAAGTTACTGTTGTTCATGCTGTTACCATGGTTACAGTGTGTATGATGTGAAATGTTTGCTTAAGTAGTCACAAAATAGGATTTGCTTCTAAATAATCAAATCTGTTGATTATTATTACAATCTATTTATTGACGTCCATTTTCTCTGAATAAGTACACATTTTTGTTAAGGGGCCAGCTGAAACCCGCCTCCGTGTGGGATTTTCTCATTGTGTTGAAGACCCATTGGTGGCCTTGGGCTGTTATCTGCTCTTTGGTCGGACTGTTGACTCTTTGACATATTCCTCTTTAATTTCTATTCTCAATTTTATTGTTAAATATTTACCAGTACATTTTACTGTACAATGCTGTAAGAAGATGTGGGGTATATGGTAATGAGACATCAACCCAACAAATCAATTCCAAAAAAGACGATTTACAAGTAAACAGACAACTTTCACAGATACATATAGACAACTATCCATGAAATACATTTTTGTACATCAAGCCCAGTTATGCTTTTCTTAATAAAATATATTCTTTTAAGACATAATTTAGTACAATATGAAGTTCAGAAAATGAGGACAAAATGGGTACTCATATTTGCCTGGTTGTTACTTAAACATGTACTTAACATGTGAAATGCTACATGTACCTCAAGAAAAAAAAGATATTAGACTGGTACCCTGCCGTTATTTGACAAGTTTGACAATATCTGTATATTCCAAAGGCATACTGAATATTTTACGGAGGGAACCAACCTAAAAAATATATATATATAGTGGTAAGTGAGTAGGTACGGTAAGACCCCATTTTGGCCCCAACATATAGCATTTTAAAAAATTGTTAAAAATGTAAACTTTAAATTTTTTTTGGAAAGGAAAATACCTTTTTTTAAATAAATATGGGCTTGTTTTTGACATTACACTGCACATGCATCAAGTCCTAGAATTAATAATTCTTGCAAAATTACTGAAATCTTCACAGTTTTAGCATTTGTGCTAATTTTTAGATGTTTTTTGTCTAAAATGGAAGTGGCCACACTGGTGTTCAGTCTTAATATTTAAATATATGTTGTATTTGATGATGATACCTAACATATATATAAAGGTTGAGACGGAACACGAATAAGGCTACATCCATTTTAGACAAAAACCATTTATAAAGTGACGTTTCGTGGTGTATTTGATAGATTTTTCATATTTAAGCTTGAATTTGAGCGTCTTTAATGACCATCTCAGTTCAGATCTTTTACTTACACTAATTGAATGGACTGAAGAAGACACTTAAGTGTTTAAAAAATGTCAAAAATCTTTCATCAGATGTACTTCAAATTTTAGGCCAAAATTAGCCCTTACCGGACCTTCTCCTTTTCATTTATCAAATTCTGGGTATTTTCAGTCTTTTTTCTTAGCAATTTACTGTAGCATTTAAACAAAACAAAAAAGCAATCTTTTTAATGTATTTCATCTAGAAAGCTATAATTGCATATTTTACAAACTTGTAAATACTCCAGAAAACAAAAATTTCATTGATGAAATGTTGGATTATATATATATTCCTTTGGTTGACCATCAAGCATTCAGGATCAAAACTATAGCACTGCCACTTCTTACAAAAAGACATTAGGAACCACTGGTATAGTAGAACATGACTTGATGTTTGTGTATGTTTATCAATTAAGTGATATTTGAAAACCAATTAGTTCAGTGATTGCATTTATGCACTATTATGACTCTACATTGAAACTGTAAATGTACAAATTGATTTCAGCATGTTCAGTATGGTAAAAAAAGTAACTATGGTTACAGTGAAAATTAATAAAACAAATTTTGTTATGGTTCTAAAGGTAGCATGATTATTTTGATGTTTTGTTTTTTTTGTTTAAACTTCAGGTAATTTAAGCACATGTTGACAATCAGATTCTAAATAAACGTGTAAATCTGTTTTGTACTTCATATGCCAAAACCATTTTGTAAACAACTATATTTAGAACATTGCTTACAATTTTTTTTTTAATTCTTTATGTAAAATAGTTGTTGAAGTTCACAGTTATGGCAGCAGAAAAGTGTTCAGATATTCAAAACATGTTTTGTAAATAAAAATCCAGCTATAATGAATTCAAGCTTTCAATGGAAATATTTTTTGCTTTTAATTTATATACTTTTCAATCAATATTTTATTGGGTTGCATAACTCTGAGCCTTCATAAAGATTTAATGTTTTGGGTTTTGATATCCTAAGGATGTTTATTGTTCAGTAAGAATTTCATTATTTGCTAATACAAACAATCCAATATTTTCATATTTTCATGTCAGGGCCTTTTCTAGCCAACTATACTGTGTGGGTTTTTCTCATTGTTGAAGGCGGTATGGTTGCCTATAATTGCTTATATCCACTTCATTTGAACCTTGGTAGATAGTTGTTTCATTGGAAATCATACCACATCTCCTTATTTTTATACAAGAAAATATTTGTAATACATGTAGTAGCATAGTCCTACACAGTCAGGTGTACATTTTGGTTGATAATAATACCTTCTCTGCTTAATCAAAATTCTTGTTTGTGCAATCATGTATAAAAAAGATATCACAGCATCAGTCTGGATAGTGGAGGTTAGTTTTAATCAGACTGTCACAGCATGATACAGATTATTAATATATATTGTTATACATAGATCTATAGCTAAATTAACATTAAACATAAGAAGTTAGAGTTTATGTGTCTGATTATTATGATATATATATTTTCCATATAATATTACATAATAAGTCTAGTAGAGCTCTGTGTGATCTCATTATTAACATAATCAAGAATAACTGTATTTAGATAATCTTACTTGCACCATCGAATACTCACACTACTTTTATATCTAGTCTATTATTCAGAAATTTTGCTTGTCGGCAATT